CTAGGCCTAAGGAGGAGGGAACGGGCAGAGTTAAATTTGAAAAGAGATTGGATTCACGTGGTGAAGGCAAATTTTTTCACCAGAGATGTGTTTGCCACATCATCAATTTGATAGTTAAAGTAGGTTTAGATGTTATACATTTAAAGATGGAGAGATTACACAAAGCTATCGGATTTATTGTCAGCGGTAGCAATAAAAGATGGCAGGAGTACGTCAAATATTGTAAGCAAGAGGAACCACTGGTTCGACCTTTGAAGTTATGTATAGACATGCCTATCAGTTGGAACTCTACCTGCTTGATGTTGGAAAAAGCTTTGCCAACCGCGAAACAAATTACAGATTTCGTCAACCGGAAAAACCATCCAGAGGAAGTTGTCAGCTATGATGATTGGGTGGTTTGTGAACTTTTTTATTCATTTCTTAAAATTTTTTATGATGCTACTAATACATTAAGTGGTATTTATTATCCAACTACTAATTTAGTGTTAGATATTTTACTTCAAATTGCTAAAACTTTTGCTCAAGATAGATATAATAACATTTTACGTGAAATTGTTTTAAATATGGAAGAAAAATATAAGAGATATTGGTTAGATATTTCATTCTTATATGAATTAGACATTTTTCTAGATCATATGTTTAAATTACCCGTAGTTAACAGTGTAATTACTGAGTTAGGCCAATATTTAGGATATGATTATACGTCTTATTTGATTGACTTTAAACAAAAATTGGATAGACTTTTTTCTTTATATGAGAACAGGTACAATGGAAGTGGAAGTGAAACGTCTAGGAGAGGTGATCAGGACCTTGATGCAGCCCTTCATCAAGGATCGAGCAAGTGGACGTATGTGGAACGTGGCGGAAGCTCCAACTCATACATACATCGACCAAATGAGTTGAATCGCTACCTACAGGTGGACCTGACCTTTATGACGATAAAGAAGCAACTTGACATAGATATTCTTCAATGGTAGAACCAACATGAAAGTCGATTCCCCATTGTATCCCAAATGGCACGTGACATTTTATCTGTGCTAGTTTCTATAATTACATCCGAGTCAACATTTTCAACGAGTGGTCGGATTGTTGAAGACAGAAGATGTTCTTTAACCAATGAGATGATTGAAGTGATAACGTGTTTGCGGGATTGGACTCATGTAGAAAGAAGACTACAATAGCACCCTGAAGATCCCAAACTACTCGAACTCTTTAAGAATACAGATTTGAATGATGTAACTAGTGTTGACGATGAAATTGAAGATGAATAATTTAATATAAAAAATTATTTAATTGTTTATTTGTGAAGCGTGAATGTGTGAAATGTGAATATTACATTTATGTTAAAAATTAAAATTAATTATTTAATTATTTATTTTTTCAATTTAATTAAATTTTTGGAAACTTACTAATCAACCCCTGAAAAATACTAAAAACCCCCTATAAAATTTTATTTCGCCCCTAAAATATAAAAAAAGATCAGGGGGGAAAAAATTATCTAAGTCCATAGGATCGATCCTGGGCCGATAGGACCAGTCTCTACCAGTCTTAGGGTCTGGTCCGGATCCTCATTTTTCTCATAAGCCTGGGACCCCATGAGTGACTGGTCCCATTTGGAACCAGTCCCAAACGGGCCCAAGCCTGGTCCTACTTAGGACTGGTCCTTGACCAGCTCTATTCATGCATACTTATTTAATACAAATAAGTAATATTAAATTGTGATGTTTTTTTGAAATTATATAATGTACGAAGTATCATTATATAATTTCAACATTTAGATTATTAGAGTTTAAACAGTTTTAACTTGAAAAGGAAAAATAAAATTAATTTAACATGACTAAGACTAACTAGGGGTGAGCGGTTCCGGATACCTTGCATTTTTCGGGGGAACCAGAACCGGAACCGCACAGTGCAGGTTCCTAAATTCAAGGAACTGGAACCTAAAATGCAGGTTCCGGTTCCTTTCCCGGGTACCCTGTAAAAAATCAATTACCCCCTGTTAGTTTAAAAAATGATAAAAATACCTTAAAAGTTTACAAATACACCTCTAACAAATTTTGATTACTCATTCATTTGTGTCTAATGTAACTCATAACCTCTAATCTCTAGGCAATACTTGAATTCAATCAATTCATCACAATTCACATAAAATTCTTCAATCAAAACCAAAACAGAAACAATTATTCATCACAATTCACATCAAATAACTTCACTAAAATCATTCAAACAAACAACAATATAGAAAGTTAGAAACTATCACCAACTTCTTTGATTCTCCCACTAATTTCAATCACTACAATTATAAAACTACAAAACAACCCAAAAAGCATAACATGAGTACATGACCCATGTCTAATTCTCCAAATTAGGCATGGATGTTCCTTCGTCAAGTGATTGAAGTCCAATCATTTCTACAAAATAAACACAAGAAAGTTAATTAGTAGCTTCAAAAAGTAAAAACATTGAATAAATTTATTTACTAATAACTTGAAATAAATTTAAGAGATAAGAATATAATCGTAACTTAGTTAGATACTATACCTGCTTCATAAGCCTTTGCATCATCCAAGTCATCTTCATCCAAGGTAATTACTAATATTTATAATATAATGTCATAATCAATTAAGTAATCATTTAATTATATAATGTTATAATTAATTATGTAATCATACTATAATGTAATGTTATAGTGAATTAAGTAATCATACTATAAATTTTTAATGTAATATTATAGTATGATTACATAATCGTAACTTAGTTAGATACTATACCCGCTTCATAAGCCTTTGCATCATCCAAGTCATCTTCATCCAGGGTAATTACTAATATTTATAATATAATGTCATAATCAATTAAGTAATCATTTAATTATATAATGTTATAATTAATTATGTAATCATACTATAATGTAATGTTATAGTGAATTAAGTAATCATACTATAAATTTTTAATGTAATATTATAATTAATTAATTTTTTAATCATTTAATTAAGTTTGTACTAATGTTTATAATGAAATGTTATAATTGATTAAGTAATTATACTATAAATCTATAATGTAATGCTATAATTAATTAAATTTCTAATTATTTAATTAAGTAATATACTAAATGTTATAACTTATAAATCAATTAATTAAGTAACAATCAATTAATGTAATGCTATAATTAATTATACTATAAATCAATTAAGTAATGTTATAAAATTATAATTAATTAAGTAATCATTTAACTATAATGTAATGTTATAAACTTATAATTGATTAAGTATGATATTTATCTAGTAATTAAATTTATTAATATTTATCAATTTATCATATATAATTAATTAATTACTGATTTACTATAGATATACTTAGAACTTGATAATTGAAGTAAATAACTAAATATATTATTATTCAATTAAATATACTATTTTATTCAAAAATAGTTCTTTTTAATAACATTAAAAATTTAAAACACTTTTAATTGGATCATAATTCCAATTATTCACTTAATTAATCAAAACTTTAATATTAATATATTAAAGTTTTTAATATGGTGTAATTTATATGAAATAAGTATAATTGTATTAATATATTTATTTAATTAGGTTATTCTAAAAATTTAACTTTTTCTATTTTAAATTTTTTTATATGTAAAATAATAGAAACCTCCCATTATTCACATTTCACAAATATTTCATTACAATCCAGGTTCCAAAGATCGGTTCCAAACCGGGTACCCCTTACATGTTCCAAACAGGGTACCCTTTTTAGGTTCTTTTTATTGGTTTCGGTTTTGGTTCCTCCATACACAAGAACCGAAACCGGAACTGTACAGTGTCGGTTCTGGATAGGTTTCAATTTTGGTTCTGGTTCTACCCTCAGGTTCCAATTCTACCCACTATCCGCGCTCATCTCTATGACTAACTATAAATTGGTGTAATAGACTTCAACTAAAATATAAAGTACAGAAAAGGTAATACAGGCAACCATTTAAGCCAGCTGCAAACAAGAAATAAAAAGGGCATTCTTTTGAGGGAGAACAACATTTTCCCACCCAAGGTTTGATGAAACAATCTTTCCCACCCATTAAGTTTCAAAATGACACTTTTCCACCATCCGTTAGGTTCTGTTAGTGTTTTCAGTTAATATTTGACTGAAAAGATAAAAATACCCTCAAATAGTTTATTCCTTAATTAGTTTATTATAAATTATAATTAGTTAATTCAAAGTCTTTATTCGATTATTTATTAGTCCAAGTATAAAAATACATTTTTTTCTTTCTTTATTTAATTAATTAGGAATATTGATTTTTTATGTTTATTAGTAAAAATGAAAAATATTATAAATAATAGTGATGTATTATTGATGACATTATAAATAAATACAGTATTAAGATTATTTAACTTTAAACAATTTTATAGTATTACTCATAACTTTTTAAGTGAGGTTAACTATTTTTTTTTTTTTGAATTTTTAATATTTGGCTTTTTGGCTAATTAAAAAATAATAAAAACTTTATAAAGTAAAATATTTAAGGATATTTTTGTTTTTTCAATAAAATATTAATGAAAAACATAACAAAACCTAACAAAGGGTGGAAAAATGTTATTTTGAAACTTGATGGGTGGGAAAGGGTCGTTTCGCAAACCTTGGGTGGGAACATGTCGTTATCCCTTCTTTTGACTCTTTTGGTCACATTCATTTACTCCAAAGTGAAACTGAAGCGTGAGAAACCGCAGCACCGCTTGATTCTTTTGCTTTGTTTGTTTCGAATTTTGCTATTCCGAAAAACAAAAACACATCTTGGCGACAGTTTTAATTATTTGAAGTGCACGCTACCTGTTTGATAAAAATTCTCTTCGAAACTCATCGTTCTGTTTTCAACTTTTGTTTTGGAGTAAAACATGAGCTGAAATGCCAACCCTTTTCGCTTTTCTTTAATACTACTGCCTGGTTCATGGAATGAGCATTGTTATGGACTGATTACAAGTATTCGCCATGGGGGTTTATGATGGTTTAGTTGTTTTTGTTTGTGATTAAACAGTAGTGTAACTAATGGAGAATGAGAAGAGAGCTGAGCTAGTGAGCTTTTTGAAAGCTGTTCCCTCTGTAGAATTCTGCTGTGTTTATGGTTCCACTTTGCATCCAAACAATAAAGACAAGGTTTCACTTTGTTTTACTTTCGCGTTCTTTATTTTTTTTAGTGTCGCGTTCATTTTACTTTAAAAATTAGTGTTTCTTATCTTTTAACATATGGGTTTATGTTTATGCAGTCAGCCATGGTAGATTATGTTCTCGGAGTGTCGGATCCTCTGCAATGGCATTCTCAGGTGTGATCATGTATAATATAGAGTGTTTGTTGATTAAAATTGATTTCTGTTAGGAAAGTATGCTATTTGATTTTCTAATAAATCTTATTTGGTTCGTCGTACGACCTGGAATCTGAAAATGAATGCAGATCATTATGCTTCGTGGTTGAGGTTGCTTGGCGGGGCAAAGCTGGTGTTTCTCTCTCTCCCTATTTCTCTTTCTATCTCTCAATTCTCTGGCACACTCCTAACAGATGTTGAAATTTCATTTTCTTATACTTAGACTAAAATTTGGTTGGTTGTCTTGTCCCAGATTACACAAATTGCAGATGAAATAGGGGTAGGAGTACACTTCAACCCGTTTGTTACCTGGAATGATAAGGTACTGACTTTTCAAAAACTTAAATCTGATGACTTAAATACAAGGACTATATGTGTGTGTGCACACTTGTGCGGAACTGGTTCCAACTTATTGTCCATGACCAAGGAGTTCTGTATTTAGGCATGAAATGCACCTCCAATCATTTTCTTGCATTTATTTCTGTAATGAATTGAAATTTTCCTGTGTTTTAATGCATGAAACAATTATGGGCAGATGTTGAAGTATGGGGTTGTTGGAATGCATGACTTGGTTCAGGACATGCTGAACTGGGAGAGATTCTATTTAAGTGGTCGTCTACAGAAACCGGTCTGCCTTCCTGATTTTCCCTTTTTTTTTTAATAAATTTTTATCATTTCTTCTTAATTGTAATATGCATCAACATTTCTTCCTTGGGAACTAGTGTCATAATTTCAGCAAAGGGACTAGGAAATCAGACCTAGCGATCACACCTTCAAGAGAGCTTCAAAGGTGGCTGAAGATCTTGTTTATTTTGTTTGTTTTCAAATTGACAGTTTTACAAGATTTTAGACATAGGTACTGTTAATCTAAAGCAAAAGTCGTTGTGCTACAACTATCCTGTCTTTCCTTAATCATTTAGTGCTCAGTCCCTAACAAATTCATCCCTGGATTTAACATTTTTCTTTTTCTATATAACCTGCTAGTTTTTCTTAATTTTCTACAATAACATCTCCATGGATAAATTGCTAGATGTCATGCCAACTAGTCAATATAAAGCCCTGAAACAATCATTGCTTGAAGCTAAGATGTTGTAGGCTGCCAAGCTGCCAAGTATGATGTTACTATAATGTGCATGACTGACGAGCGTGTATGGTCCTTATGTTGCTTAGATGTCATTTGACATGTGATCACATCAATGATAGGAGATCTTATGTTTAGCTAATTATTCTTAATTCCTCTTCTCCTGAGCTGTGCTTTTCATTAGCTATCTTCTGCTTTCTTTGCACTGATTTTGGTTCTTAATCATGACCTGAGATCTGAAAATTGAGTTTGTGGTCTCATATATCAGTATTATTTACCAATCTCAGGGAGCTTGGTGTTGCTTGTGCAGGTACACATACTTGTGGATAATCTGGATATGGCAAATACAAACTCTGTTAATTTGAGGGCTGCATTGTCTGCTGCTCTTCTTCCCTTGCCCTCCAAGTTCACAGAGGTTTGCTTACATGTTACTGCTCATTCATTTTAGAGTTGCTAGAGTTATGATTAGGTCTTGGATTGTGCAGGAAGATCTGTTTGCCAAAATATGTAGCCTTTCATATATGGGAGATTTGCGTATGCTTTTTGCAGAGGACAAAAACAAGGTACAGCTTGATCACACCTATATAAAATATTGAGAAAATTGATTTGTGGCTTTCAATAGCATTGATTTGCATAGTTCATGGTTGACTCTCTCATGTTGTGAATTTTATGAAAGAGTCCCTCTCTTCCTCCCTTTGTTTCACTCCATCAATATATTACAGTTATGTTAATAATAAGAGTTATACGAAAGTGAACAAGTATTTCTTTTGTTCCCCAAAAGTTTCTGGTTTTCATGTATAAAATTTGCCTCTGGTGAAGAAGATTGTGCAAGGACAGTTTGATTTATTCCACTTAATGTATAAGCCATTTCTTGAAGAATATGAGGCCAAAGACTTCTTGAGAGTCTCATCATCTGGGACTGGCCACGCAAATATATCACAGGTTTGTAAAATTTGAATCAATACCCAAATACTTGATTATGTATTGGCCTCATACCAAATATGACGTACATATGTACAATTTAGCAGAAGCTCTGTTTACTCTTGTTACTTATAATCAATTCTTGATAAGGGATCTGTTATCCATCTAACTTGGTTTTTATTTTCTTTGAAATTATGATTTCTCCATTTTCAGTTCATTGTTCCATTGTTTACTACATATTTTGTTCTGGTGAAATTAAATTGTTATTTCATAATAAATTTAAGAAAAACAGTTTTAAAAACTTGTTTTGTTAAGGAAACTGTTGTTTGAACAGCGTTGTTCTCGTTATCTTATGCTTTAAAACGCCAAGTTCTTATATGTTTCTGTCGCTTGAATCAGGATTGTGGCTTGCCAGTCACTTGCTCCCTCGTGTCTTCTCTTCCACCTGCAATTAGAAGTCAAATGGGGATGAAGCTTGGAGAGAAGAAGAGAAGTATTTCCCATACTATCCGTATAGGAAAGACCTTCTAAAGCATGATTGTGAACGCCGCCTATACCGTTTATGTGGGTAGTAACCAAAATTTTACATTCATCAGCTCCTTCCAGTTCTTTCACGAAGCGCTTCATATTGTCCTTATTTATATTCAACACGTTGTCCAAAACAAGAAAAATTTTCTTCCCAGACAATGCTTCTAGCAAGCAGAATTCCGAACCATCCTCCAATGCTAATTTATCAGGATTTTGTTCGGTTACAAAACCATAAGCTCGTTGCATCAAGATATTTATGTCAAAGTCCGGAGGTACACATACCCACATTTTGAGATCAAAGCGATCAGCTATCCTTTTGTCATTATAAACCAGTTTGGCTAGGGTGGTTTTTCCTATACCTCCCTTCCCAACTATAGCAGTCACAGATGAGTCACTGTCTTGTCTCAACAAAGACTCTATAACCTTTTCCTTATCAGCGTCTCTCCCGAAAACTTCGGAAGTATCCACGAAGGTGTCACTTGCTACCCAGTCACTCGGATAATCACACCTAATGACAGGCGCAATCTGATTATAGTCACGTATAATAGTAGCTGCCTTTGCTTCTAACTTTTTTATAAGGTTCTTGATTGATAAGAAGGTGCGAATTTGCGTACCTTGGATTCGTCACTTGCCAATATTCTCAACAGAGGATCAGCATCATCCAACATCCGTGAAGGCTCTGCCAGTCTATTCTGTGATGTCTGTATCTCATCATCCGAGAGTACCAACGCCGTTCGTCGGAGCTTCGTTATTGTTTTTCGAAGATTCCTCGGAAAACCTGTTTTCTTCTCAAAAGTATCAACCTTTTTAAAAAAGGGATGTGAGTCTTGCGTGTTCTTTGACTGGAAGGAAGAAAAAAGGGTGCACTATTGGGTAATGAATTAACTGAGGAGTACAACGTGAGAAATGATGCTTTTAACTTCGTACGAATTGCTAATATGGAAGGGCTAATCTCATTAGTCTCCTTTTAATTATAATTAAATAACAATAATCTTTTAACAGATATAATAATAAGAGAAATCTCCCAGCTGTCAAGTTTTTATTAGTTAAAATAAATAATCGAGAAGCAATTAGGTAAACATTTATTAACCCATCATATTATAGATTCTAACATCACATTAATAACTTACTAACGATAGAGAGATTTATGTTATTTCTAAAATTTCAGAGAGAATTTTGTTATTTGGTTAATCTGTCAAAACCTTTGTACTGTAAGAAGAAAACTTCATTTACGAGCTCCTGGGGTGAACCATGGACTTAGAATACAACCCAACATTGTTACAAGATTTTACAACGAATTAGAATTCTATTTTGATATGAGCTCTCTTCAGTTTTTAAAGATTTCATAACACATGTTCATTAATAATAATGTATGATTGTGATTTGTTTCTTTTTAATATTGTTTTAATCAATTACCAATCATATCTTCATATTTTGTTCAGATTAAAATCAGATCAAGCGAGGATCTTGATCCACGTACAACCCAATAAAATTTAACTATTATGCTCGAGTAACGTTACATTAAACTAAAAAAAGTTGCATTAACTAAAGATTCTTGACCGGATTTGGAAAGAAAGTTAACAAAAATTAAAGAATTTGAGAAATACTGAAATACAGTTGAACTAACTGAAATGAATATACTGAAATTTTACTTACTGCAAAAAACAGAGAAGGAGAAGGAGAAAGAGAAAGAGAAAAGAGAAGAGAGAAAGAGGCGGAGAAGAGATAAGGAGAAAGAAAGAGAAAGAGGCGACGACGGACGCTAGATCTTGTTGTTGCCTAGATCTGGAAAAGAGAAGAGAGAAAGAGATGGAGGAAGTCAGAGAGGGAACAAAAAAAAAAAAAAAAAAGACGATCTCGACGACCACATCTAGCTGCCGAGATATTATCACTGCCACCACGAAGAGAAGGAAGGTTTAAGAAGAGGGTATTATTAAAACAAATTTAAAAATAAGATGGTTATTTTTCTAATTCTAGCAATGGGGGTTAAAAGATGTTTATTTATTTATTTTTTAAGGGCAATTTGGTAATAATATTTTATACTATATGAGAATACAACAATCGTTAATGATGTTAATTTAAGAGTAAGAATCTAGAATAAATGAAACAAGTGATGAAAATTCGGCTGTATAAACACATAATGGTTAGCTCATAAAACTCTTTAAAATCTGTATGAACTCCTAATGGCTACAACATATATCAATCTTTGATAAACATAAGGTCATTGACAAAAACATCTACATATTTAGTCTAGTATATATACATTCATTAAATTCAGCCTTGGGACTAGGAGGCCATGTGCTAGAAAACTGTGTTTCTTTCAAAATTTAACAGCAAAATCGTTATATATTAGATGTTGACACATTCTTCACCTATATATATATATATATATATATNAATCCTCCTCCTTAGGTCTAGTCTGATTTTGAGATCAAACCTACTAGGATCAGATTTTTGGACTCGGTCCTAAATGCCTAGCTGTAGAGAAAATATAACATTATCTTTTAAAAGCAGGCAGAAAAGTCTCCACTCACTGTGGATAGCGGAAATTACGTTTTAAAAATAGAAATGTCTCCGCTCACCGTTGATTGCGGAAACCTGCTAAGTAGTTGAGAAGAGACAATGTTATTTTTCCTAAAGTTTATTTCAAATTGCCGATCTCTATATGACATTGATATTTAAATAAATGGAAATGATATAACAATACTTGAATAATAATTTATTATTTGAGCGTCTCAGGTAATTTGATTTTATAAACAAAAGGGTTAGCCTAAGAAGGAGGGTTCAATGGAGGGACCCAATCCTCCTCCTTAGGTCTAGTCTGATTTTGAGATCAAACCTACTAGGATCAGATTTTTGGACTCGGTCCTAAATGCCTAGCTGTAGAGAAAATATAACATTATCTTTTAAAAGCAGGCAGAAAAGTCTCCACTCACTGTGGATAGCGGAAATTACGTTTTAAAAATAGAAATGTCTCCGCTCACCGTTGATTGCGGAAACCTGCTAAGTAGTTGAGAAGAGATAATATTATTTTTCCTAAAGTTTATTTCAAATTGCCGATCTCTATATGACATTGATATTTAAATAAATGGAAATGATATAACAATACTTGAATAATAATTTATTATTTGAAAGTCTCAGGTAATTTGATTTTATAAACAAAGGGATTGTACAAGGGCCTTAAGAATTATTTGATTAAACACATGCAAGGGTTCTGGACAGTAACAAGTTCATCTAAAAGTTTTACGAAAGTTAATGAAATTTAATATTGAAAGCGTTCTTTTTTTTTTTTTTCTTTTTTACAGACAAAGAATAGTCAATCATGGAAAACTATTAACGCAGCAAAGTTTATTTATTTATTTTAAGGAAAAGAAGAGTCGGACTTTAATTTGTTGGTTGTTTTTATTAATCATAAAGTATAGTCTTAGTTGTTTTTATTTTTGATTTTTTTGTTTCCTTTCCACAAGAGGAATAGTCTTATGAAAAACATATAACTGTTAAAATCATTGGTTTCACAAATTTTCTTCAATTTCCTATTGGTTTACACGTAAAAATAAAAATAAAGCCTAACTAATTATTTGCTTGATACCAATAGCCTGCAATTCTTACCAACTTCCGTTTAAAGTTTTTTGTACTTATAGTCTTAACAACATATATCGCTTAAAAGGAAGAAGTTTAAAACCTATAATGTTAGAAGCAAGAATTGTCTTCAAAGTAAAGGAAATTATTGAAGAAAAACTTAAAATTATCTAAGGTTGATGTTAACTGGATAAGAATATAGAATTGAAAAGGTATAAGATGCGGGGTTGAAACACAAACATAAGAGTTATTTTGGAAATATTTAAGTATATTTAAATATCCATATATTAAAAAGATATAATTTGTAGATTAACATAAATAAAAATATGTGGGGTGATTTTTACTGGTCAGCTACGCCCATATCAAGCATATCTTAAATCATATAGATTAGATTCAGAATTATTTGTTCTATTGGGAGTTTGTTAACTCACTTTGGTGTATAGTTACCCATTTTAAGTACAACAAAAGTATGACCAAGTTGATTAAGAGATTACCAATTTAACCACATCAAACACAAGTGCGGAAAATGAAGAACACAACCATATACATGGTTCGATTAAAATCCACTTTTAGCTTACATTCATGGGACCTTGTTCAGATCGAAACAATCCACTAAGTTAAAAACACATTACAAGATATAGTTTAAAGTTGATCTAAGATACAGTAAAAACAACTTTCTATTCAACTTCACACTTAGCACCACACTCTGAATCCTTAACGTGTAATAACTCTTCGGACCTTCTTCACGCCGAGAACACACCCGAGAACAACTTGTGAACCACCAAGCTTCAAGCACTGATGCCACTTACCAGAATCAGCAAAGGAACCGCGTTCCAAGAGCCATCAAGACAATGAATGATATGGTGAGGTTTCGGCACAAAATGGAAATTAACCTTTAAACCTTAAGAGAAAGAATACTCTAAGAAATTTAAGAGTACAAAGAAATAAAAGATCAAAAAGTTAGATTCAAAGACGCAAGATGAGATGATATATAGTGTAGGGTTTCTTGCTCAACATATTAGTGCCACGTCAGCCAACAAGAGGCTGGCCCATGTTTGTCCAAAAAAGGAAAGTATTCATTTTTTTGGTTTGGACCACAAAACAAATTGGAAAAAAAAACTTTATTCCCTAGGACCACTTAAGGATAATATGACACTTGTAGAGGGTCCTAAAAAGTTAGAGACAAAGATAAACAAATATCTTTTCTACTTTATCAGACATGCAACTCGTGTTGGATTGCAAATATCTGAAGTGACTGTGTAAGCACAAACCGTTGTGCACTCACATTCGAAAAGGAACAAGCTAAGACACAAGTATGTAAATCATAAGATTAGCAACTAGTGTGCACACATAACGTACTATTGTGGACACACAACTCATAAGTTTGACAAATATGAATATCCCACATTCTCCCCCTTTGTCAAACTTATGAACAAAGAACATAGATAGAAAATGAAATGAAAACTCACCTGAGAATCTGAGTTTGTAGCAGCTTCGTCGTCGGATTCAACTTGCAGTAGCTTCGATTGAAGGCCAAATGAAGGTTGGACGAAATGGTGGCGTCTCAGACTTTGCAGTGTGAAGAACCCAAGCTCAATGAAGGTCTGAAATTGAAGGGGGGACGGCAATAGCTGAATAACGGTGGTGTGACTGGCGTCTCAGACTTTGTGGTGTGAGGAAGTGAAGACAACGATGGCAGAGGTGAAATAAGTTTGAAGGGTAGGGATTTTGTGGCCCTTTGTCTCTGTTTTAGGGTAAATGGGATTTTACGCAAGCTAAAATTCGCAATCAAGTTGACGACCTTTGCTGACTCAAATGACGACGCGAGCAATTTCAAGATCGCAAGGAGATCAAATCGAGCCTAGAAAAGCTCAACACACCTTTCACGAGCTTGAAGAGGAGCTCGAACTCGCGAACTGCTCGTCAAGTAGCTTATGAGCTACTCAGTTCGACTGCACCCCTAGTCTTAAGTCTTAGCAACCTATAATGTTAAATGCAAGAATTGTCTAGAAGTTTTAAAGAGATTTATTATGAACAAATCTTAAGTAATATTGAGAGGGAAGATTATCACTATTCACTACATCCATCTAATTTGCTGCAAGCCATCATTATGGATAAAGTGGTATTAATTACTCGTACAAAATTTGAATATAAAGTTAAATATAACAAACAACCTTAATTACTTTAGTCACCCAGGATTTTGGTCTACTAGTCAAATTTTTTTTTTTTTTTTTTTTAATACACTCGGTACAATGCAAATAAGTTGATATTTAGACGTCATAAATTAATATTAATTATTTAACTAACCTTTTTTATGTTTAACCAAATTTTAAAAAAAAAAAAAAATTAAACAAACAACTTAAATTTAAGCAAAAATCCTTGTAACCAAATACCCCATCAATCCCTTCACCCATACTTTCTTACAATCACCATCCACCAAATACTAAACCAACAACTAGTAGTGGAAAAAAACCCGGAAACCAAATCGAACCAAAAAATTGGACTGGAACCAAACAAAAAACTAGTTTTTTTTTTTTTTTTTTTTTTCTCTAAAATGGTTCAATTTGGGTTAGAGAGAATGGTTACATCAGTTTTTTCGTTCGATTACCGGTTCGATCCAAAATAATAACTGGTTAACCAAAACCGGTTTTTAACAAATCCTTCAGGTTGCGTTTGGTTCAGGGAATATTATATTAATGGAAAGTAAAGTACTTTGAAAGATTATTGAGAATGTTAGAGTAATGTGTTTGGTTGGGAGGAATAAATTGGTGAACATGTTATTTAAATTACTGAATCCCTCTTATTAAATATTATTATTATTTAGATTACTATTTATAACCCCTTACATTTAAAAACTTAGCTAAAACAACCCCCATAATAAAAGTTTGAAAACCAACGAATGCACCACCACCCACTCAGTCACTGTTGGCCATTGGCAACCATTGTCGGTCGTCGATAGCTGGCAACCAAACGGTGCAAGGCCGAACAGAAATGGCTGACCGTGCACCATTTTGGCCATTTCCTCTGGCCAAAAATAGGCAGATCATAAAAAATCTAGCCGAAAACGGCCAGATTTATTTTGATCGAAAACGGCCAGATGTATTATGATGAGAAACGGCTAGAACTACTACGATCTGATCTTTTCCAAACAAAGATATGGCTAGAAAAGGCCATAATGGCGTCGGCGGCCGGCAGTGGGTGGGTGGGTGGTGTGGTGGTATTGGGTGGGCTGTAATTTATTATAAATACAAGGGCATTAATATCCAAAAACTTAACTAATTAGGGGTAAAATTATAATGATAGGTTTATGTAAATTAAATGTGTTACAAGGGCATTATTATCCCAAAATTTTATTAACAAAGAATATAATTCTAACAAAAATAAGATTACTTGGTAATCTTAAAATACATAAGAAAATTGAGAAAATCAGATTACCTTTTATGTTACAATCAAATGTAATTAACTAATATAATTCCTATACTACAACAGATGACAATAAAATGTAATCAACTAATATAAGATGACTTACATTCTGTTTGGCTAAGTATTTTTATCTGTATTTTGGACCGGATTTTGCAAATGTTGTTTGTTTTATTATTTACAGAATCCTATCCTAATAATTTAATCCTGACAACTATTTGACCATTACAGTTTTTTTTTTAATTTTTTTTCACTGCTTCTTTCTTAGTATCCTGGATCTTCATTGCTACTGGTTCTTTCTCAGTATCCTGCATCTTCACTGCTTCACCATTTGACCGTTACAGTTTGTTTTTTAATTTTTTTCACTGCATCTTCACTGCTTCTTTCTCAGTATCTGCATCTTCACTGCTACTGCTTCTTTCTCAGTATCTTGCATCTTCACTGCTTCAACATTTGACCGTTACAGTTTGTTTTTTAATTTTTTTTCATTGCATCTTCACTGCTTCTTTCTCAGTATCACTGCATCTTCACTGCTTCACCATTTCACTTTCTCAGTATCATTGCATCTTCACTGCTTCACCATTTCAGTTTCTCAGTATCCATCACCAGCTTCGTGCTTCAGTTCTCAATTGGCATTATCATTTTCAGTTCTTCACTTTCTCAGTATCCATCACCACCATTTCAATTTCTAATAATCCATTACCAGGTTCAGTGCTTTACTTCCCAGTTTGCATTACCACCATTTCACTTTCTAGTTTCCAGTACCAGTACCGTGAACCCCCAAACCCACCCACCCCGAGCACCCACGCACCCACCGTGACACGATCTACCCCAAACCAACCCACCCCGAGCACCCACGCACCCACGCACCCACCGTGACTCGATCTACCCCAAACCAACCTACCCCGAGCACCCACGCACCCACCGTGGCCAGATCTACCCCAAACCAACCCACCCCGAGCACACACGCACCACCGTGACCTGATCTACCCCAAACCAACCCACCCCGTGCACACACACACCACCGCGACCCGATCTACCCCAAACCAACCCAGCCCAAGCACCCACGCACCACCGCGACTCGATCTACCCCAAACCAACCCATCCCGAGCACCCACACACCACCGTGACCCGATCTACCCCAAACCAATCCATCTCGAGCACCCACGCACCCACTGTGACCCCATCTACCCCAAACCAACCCACCCCGAGCACCCACGCACCCATCGTCACCGTGACCCGATCTGCCGCAAATTCACACCCTGATCTGGATCAAACCGACACCTCAGTCTCCATCAAACCCACCTTATATCTGTGTAAAAGGGGAAGCAGTTGCGTTTTGTCTTTGTTTGGCATGAAAGGATTGTGAATGGATGGGTTTTTGTTTTATTTGGAATTTTTTTTTAATTTCTCGTGGGGCACACGCATGGATGGGTTTTTGTTTTATTTGGAATTGTTTTAATTTGGTATTTTTGGCAATTAAATATTGTTTTAACTGGGTTTTTGTTTTAATTGAGTTTTTATTTTATTAGGCAATTGGCACATAATTGTTTTAATTGGGTTTTTGTTTTAATTGGATTTTTATTTTATTCGGCAATTGGCACAGAATTGTTTTAATTGGGTTTTTGTTTTAATTGAGTTTTTTGTTTTGTTTGACAGCTTTTTAATCTCGTGTACACACGGATCCCTTTAATTGTATTTGATGTTTATCTGACTCAGAGAAGGGAAAGAGACCCACGACGTATCCAAATCAAGTTTGTAAGTTTCCGTTACCTATTTGTTTTCAAGACACCGAGCCGCTATTTTTTTCATTTTTTTATTGGAAATAATTTGTATTAATATTGTTTTTTTTTCATTAATCCTTTTAATTTGGACTTTAATAATGCGTTTTGTAATTGGTTGACTCAAATATTTTATTCCGGTTTCACTAATTGATTTATTTGTTCTATAGATTAGACATCGTTCTTTAATCGTAACCAGAAATTACGCTTATATGCACAGATGTCAGCATAATTTGTCTCGATGTCGTAGGATTGATTATTACTTGCAACAGAGGCGAAAGTTTCAACGTTTTTCTAGACTTGGAGTTCGTCATACACCCTGTTGGTCGACATTGTCTGTATCTATATCTGTATCTGTATCTTCCCCTGCATTGACGTCTTCAAGCAGTGTCGGATCGAACGAGGTATAATTTTATATGTGTTTAGTTGATTACGTTAACATGTGAGTATTATATTTTGTAATGTGATTGGTGATTCGTATGGTGCCCCAATGTTGGTTGTCTCTCACCGTACTGTCCTTAGATGAGTGATTCTGTGGCTTGGTCCGCTGAGATGACCCACAAATTTTTAGTCCTGTTATCTGAGCAGGCCAAAACTTCACACGGTACTGCAATGAAAACAGCTGATTATCAGGAAATGTTGGGCGACATATCATCACTAGCTGGCAGGAGACCCAACGTGACATAATTAACCTCTAAGTTCTTTCACCTACGAAAGGTTTATCAAGCATGGCGGAAATTGCTGCAACACACGGGGTTCGGGTGGGATAAGGAGTCACAAAATCCAACGTGTCCCGTTGAGGTTTGGTAAGAATATGTCAAGGTAAATTTTCATATTTTTTAACTATTATTATTCAATGACACCGTAAATGTATAGATTTTTTTCGGATTACTAAATATTGATATATTATTCTTTGAACTTACCAGCAAAACCCACTGGCGCAACACTTTTACCACAAGGGACTTCCTCACAAGGAGCTATATTAAATAATATTTGAGAAGCAAACTGCCACTGGAAGATATGCATACACATCTACATCCCAACCAGTGCAGACCTCCAGTTTTTTCAATCCCGGCGCGGTTCCCCTGGATGATAGCAACTTTGAACCTGATCCTGATCGGACGACAGGAAAAAAACGGTCAAACACATTTGGTCATGGAAGAGCAAGAAGTAGGAGGCACAGAAAGGGGCCGGGACATTCAATTGCGGATGCCATTTTTAGCTTAATGGGCGAGCTTGCGGAGAAGCGGACTATGGCATCGAGGGCTAGCAATCGCAGTACAGATGGCAGGGAAGAAGAGAATACCAGTGGTCCATGTGATCTTTTTTCCATGAGCAATTGTATTAACATCATGATGGCCATGCAAGTACCGACACAGTTTTACCTGCCGATTGTCACGTACTTATATGAAAATCCAGGGTGGCGGGAGATATTTGTAAAACTCCCACTGGAGAAAAAGGCTAACTGGATTTATAACAACTTTCCCAATAATAAGTAGATGTCACTATATTTCATAAGTGTTTGGCAACAATTTTGTACGCGTCAGTGGGCAGTTGTCATTACAATTAAAATTTATAACGCTACTCTATGAACTTATTTATGTGATATTACATGTGTAAACACCGTTTTCGATTGTCATTACAATTAAATATTGATTGTTATATTTTGCTAAGTAGTACAACAACTATTAATTGTTGATAAATGTTTTGCAAATGTGTAGGTTTAAATGGCGTCGTCTAGCCGTACAGGAAGAAGACAACGTGCTACAGATGAGAGGGACGAAGAAGAAATACTGACAGATATAGCCATTGCACTATGCGGTGTTGCCGCGTTAGAAGCAAGTCGACCTCAACCACGACATACATCTGTATTAACTGGTCATCAGTACATGTTGGAAGTACTCAACGGTCATCCTGACAGGATCTATGACAAGTGCCGCATGGACAGAGACTGTTTTACATTGTTATGTGAATTTTTGTCCGATCAAGGCAAATTGCAACCAACCAGGAGGACGAGTTTAGAAGAACAAGTTATGATATTTCTAACAATCGTTGGAAAAAATGAGACAATCAGAACGATGATGGAGGATTTCCAACATTCGGGTGAGACGATCTCTAGACATGTTACCGCAGTTTGCGATGCTATATGTGAGTTGAAGACAGAGTTTATCAGACCACCTGACTTCAATGATGTTCCATGGGAAATATCAGCCAACAGAAAATATTACCCTTTCTTTAAGGTACTGGTTCATTATGTTTGGTATTAGTAGATAGTTAAGTTCATTGTGTTATTAATTTGTTTAGTAGGTTAATATTAGTGAAATGACTCATTTTCATGATAGGACTGTATTGGAGCCATGGATGGCACACATGTATACGCTTCGGTTCCACGTGAATTTGCCATTAGGTACCGGAATCGCAAAGGATCGATGTCACAGAATATAATGGCTATATGCGACTTTAACATGATGTTCACTTATGTCGTTACTGGATGGGAAGGATCAGCGCATGATTCAAGAGTTTTAAATTCAATTATTGATGATCCTAATTCTGGATTCCCATATCCTCCACCAGGTATAAGTATTTTCTTGACGTATTACAGCGTATTACATCCACTGTTGAGGCCCTGTAATTCAAATAAAATGTCTGATATTATTACAGGGAAATACTATTTGGTTGATGCGGGTTATGCAAATAGGGATGGGTTCCTCGCCCCTCATAGGCAAGTGGCTTACCATATTTCTGATCACCGCCGTAACCGAAGGGGGCCACAAGAGTTGTTTAATTACAGACATGCTTCACTCCGCAATGTTATCGAGAGAACCTTTGGTGTTTTGAAAAGACGGTTCCGTATTCTAAATGGAATGAACAATTACCCGTTGGACAAACAAGGGAAGATTGTTATGGCATGTTGTGTACTTCATAATTTTATAAGAATGTACAATATGGACGACCGTATCTTCGAACAAACCAATAATAGTACGGGTAATGAGCAAGTATATTGTGATCATCAAAACGAGGCAGAATATGGCCGAAACGGAGAAGGATCGAGTCAACCGCAACAAGGTATTAACAACATGACGACTGTACGGGATAACATAACGAATGTACTGTGGGCAGCACAGTGGACCATGTCATAGTTGTTAATGGAGTATACGTGTAATAATGATTGTAAGGGTTGATAATTAGTATTTTTGTCATATATGTATTAATGTGATTTTTTAAACAGTTGGATTAGTACTTGAAATTAATATGGGTTTTTTTTTTTTAATATATACGGGTACCAAAATTACCAATAAAATATTTAGTATTATTAAAATGTAACTTGATAACTTATATATATAATAATACATTATTTTAACAAACTACAATAAAATATTATATTAATAAATTATTTATAAACAAATATATTAATCAAATATTCAAGACAAATATGAAGGTCAAAATATTCTACCAAACACATATTCTGAAAATCCTATTATCGTAATCATAACCCTATCCAACTATCCAATACTATCCCTAAAATCATATCCAAAATACTAAACCAAACGCACCCTTAACTATCCAAACGCAACTAATTTATTCCTAAACACATTTCTTCTTTCTTCTACTTCTCTGTTTCAAATCCGTTTTCTCTCTTTTTTTCTTCTCTTCCTCCTCCCTCTCTCTCTCCTCTTTCCTTCACCTCTTTCTCTTCCTTTATTTTCTTTCCTCCTCCCCATTCACTCCCTCTAGTTGCCGCTGTTTGGCAACCAGATCTAGCCAGCCTGCCAGATCCCCTGGATTCCGACTGAAGTTCTGATTTTGTGGAGGTTTACAGATGGCCTCTTCTTCATTACAGATGGCCTCTTCTGTATCACGGCCAACTACCTTGTCAGAACAGGATATGAGTAAGTAGTAGAAAATCAAATTAAATTTTCAGAAGTAAATAAATAATAATGAAAGGTTTCCGGTATGTTTTTATTGCAGAGAATATCACGGATTAC